TTCTTCTGCATATCACAATACAAGGTTGCTTCAGAATTTTCCCAGTGCTTCAATCTCTTCTCTTTTAATTAGAAATTAATCAATAGGTTCGGTAGTCTTGTCTCATCACTCACATATACATGCACAGACACACATGACCCCAGTGACTGTGAGCCAACCTATAAGCATAATGTATGCTTTCAAAGTTTTATTTTAAAGAACAGCACATTTTATCTTGAGGCTTATAAGACCATAATTCTGAGCTGTATTGGATGGCAGGGTGGGAAGATGGATATCTTATATGCAGTAGATGAGATGGGAGGATTTTATGATACTTCGTGCTTTTTAATAATAGGAAGGACGTGCAGAGTTCTGACATGCCCTCAAAGCAGATTGTTGGGATCTTTGAATTTTATTCCCTTAATATTATCCAAGTTATTGTTTGGTCCCATTGGTCCCCCTCATAACTCTTATGTGAAATTTTCCCCCTTATCCTTCCCACCCCAAATGTGGAATTATTGCATGACAGTTCTGTAGATCTAATTCTCCAAGCCATATTCTTCCTCCCTGAGTGTGCAAGGCTTCCTCTTCGGGACAGTGGAAAGTAACACTTGTGTGGCAGAACACAACGTGTTTGCAAAGAGCATAAGAAAGAAACTATGCAAATTGCCTTTTTTTTTTTTTTTTTTAATTAAAGATATATTGTGAAGTAAACATTATTTTTAATTATCAAGAATCAGGGAGACTAAAATGACGCCAGACTGGAAGTTGTATGCTGTTAGTGAGCCCTTTTCTTCCTGCAAGGTTGTCTGAATTATTTTTCCCCAGTTAAATTCCACAGGTAAAATAGCACCAGGCTATGCTGGTGCCCTGAGACTTTTTTGTTATTAGCTTATGTTATATTGAAATAAATTTCCAGTAACAATTCAAGATAGCATTCGCAGAGGCCTCATAACTGATAAATGTTTACGTAAACCACCTGCTGATAGCAAAAGATTACGTCTAGTGCTCAGTTTATGTACTCATGTGCTGAGATGTATGCTGAGCAACTTTCTTCTCATTTTTTCTTTGTGCTACACAGCTGTCTGTCTCCTCCTGCTGTCACATACATTGATTGTTGTCTCCTTTAGAAAAACAGTAGATTTTGGTCTTCCTTTTATTTTTTTCAACTTCTTATGGACTTCTGAAGTTGAGTTCTTAAATGCTGCAGCAGCTAGTGAAAACAAAGAGTTTTCATGATATGCTGCTGATTGGTATTTGTAGCCAATGTTTGCATATATGCTTATACATGCATACATACAGATACGTGTACGTTTGCCTTTTGTTACCCTTTTTGTTGTCAAACTGAAAAGCCGAAAATACAATTAAGCCTTTTTTTAGATGAGATTTCAGAAAGACTGCTTTGTTTGGACTCTATGAACATTTGTTGCACTCTCAATTTATATTAACTATTTGGTATTTTTGTTAACAGACAGACAGCAAGGTTTAACCTCTAAATGGACCAGAGCATTACTGATTTCACAAAGATAATTGTAGCTATGCAAGCTAGCACATAATGGTTAAATATATCCTTGCTTTTGACGGAAGCTAGTGGAGTTGGAACAGAGATGAACATAGCTTATTAAATATAGCTCTTATGAAGACTGCTCTATAATTACTGTGATTTTTCTTTGTATCATTATGATCATAGGCTGATGAAAACAATGAATCGTGTGCTTTCAAGAGGCCAAGAACTATTCAGCCATAGAAAAAGATCATACCTAGAGTAACAGCCCTGTTAGTTTTCTTTCAGTAGTCTATGTAAATAACAGACTATCAAGGTTAAATAGGTCCTTTCACCAAAGCTCCTTCTTCCACTGATGAGTTAAAAACTTAGAGAATGCTCCAAGGAGGACCAAGAACACTTCATTCCATGATATCTCATACATATCCATGAGCAAATCTTTTGATACTCTTTTTAACTGAGACTAGTTTTTAATGTTTAAAAAGGGATCTGCTGAATTTTTCGCATGTCTGGAAGTGTTTTCTGAGATTAAAACCACAGAATGAAATGACCTATATACCCAAAATGTTGTGAGTACAAAAATGCCCAGTTGTCCTTTGCTGTCAGCCCTGACACTCCATGGATCCAAAATAGATTCAGGGACCTGGATTCAGATATTTTCCATCTTTTCTAGCCCATTAGAGATTTCCATGCTTTTTGGCACTGAAAGGAGAACAAATGACAAGGGTGTGTTCTTGTGGTCTAGATTCTTTCCTTTCTCTCCAGGTCTGCGTTGATAAGACTGGGAAGGCAACAGACCCCGACATACCTGCTCTATGTCAGGAGTAGTGAACTTGAGCTTTTCAGCAAAGACCTTGGCCAGTGCTAAAGTCCATTGTTTTCAGGAGTGCCCTTACTTGTGAAGCTTTCCCCCTTGTGCATTTATCGATAATTAATGTTTAGAATGTTTAGAATTTTGGCACTTAAAATTTTAGCTGCTAGTGTCTACTTAGTAATTCAGAATAACACTTTCACTATCCTATTTTTAGATTTCATGAAGCAATTTAGGTGCATCAAACCCAAGCAGTATTAATCTCAGACTTTCAGAGTAAAGAAAATGTGCTTGAGAACAATCAGTAATTTCAAAGACAAAGTTAGGGTTTAAGATTCATTGATATTCACTGTTGTGCTTGTAGAGCTGGAAGGAAGGTAGGGATGGGCATGTCTGAGATCACGGCTGGGTACACTGCCTTTTCCAGCAACCACTCGACAACTCCTTCCGTGAACCAAGCCAGCTTTGTATTAAAGACATTAGTTTCGTTGCCTTGGCTACATGTGCTGGAGGACTTATCTGAAGCCTCACGTTCCTGATGGTTGTTATATACCTTCTCATTCCTAGCCTAATTTATTCTCAGTTAGTCTGTTTGCAGGTCACCAGTAACTATTAAGTTAAATAGGTCTTTTATAGGTCTTCTCTATGTTTATCTGTTCTTGATGTTTAGCAGAGAGACACCTCTCGTGCTTCCCTTAGTTATGCTAGAAATGTATTTGGAAATGTTTGTGTCTGTTGTACATTCATATATATTCACACTATGTGTGTCTATTTAAATAAATAATACTATATTCTATTTAATATTATTTGATTGTTATCATGTATTCTTCTGCACAGCTTTTAAGCATCTTAATTGTTTTATCAATTGCATGGAGTTAATTCAAATATCTCAAATCTGTAAGGGTAAACTATGGTATGAAATAGTGAGAATGAACAGTTAAATAGAAAGAAGAACTAAATCAAATAGTTTAAAACCCATTCTGAAGCAAATGCAAACTTTCCTGTAGGATTGTTTTAAGCAAGAACACATACATAAGCAGTCAGCTTTTCCACGCCAAGGTTTCCCAGACAGCTTTCTGGTAATGCCACAATTACACATCAGTCAATTCTACAAACAATAACTTATTAAAACTAATTAAAAGATTTTGACAGACAGGCTTTTAGGCGCTGCAGAAGACCTGGCTGACACTTTCCGCATGTCCAATATACTACTATAGTGATTGGCCTCTGTTTCAGCCTTATTTAACAGTTTCATTAATAGTATTAAAGAAAGCAAGTGAACAGCATGTTAATGAAGTCAGCAGATGATGTAAACAGCAGGAAACAGAAAATAGAAGATACTTAGAGATTAGAAACATGAGCAAGAGGAGTTATTAATGTATCATGATCAGATTGAGAAAAAAAAAAGAAAAGCTAACGCATCCGGGATAAATTCATTCAAAACTGATGTTATATGACCAACACATACTAAATACACAGAAATATACACACTAAATTACACTAAAACTTTTTTTTTTCTGGTTGAGAAAGGTCCAGTTTCTGATCAATGTAATACCTAAAGGGGCAATACTGTCTTTGGAAGAATGTGTAGATAGTGTAAAAAAGCAGACAAGTAATTGCTGAGTTTTACACAAATAGGTGGATTGTAGGAGCAATTTGCTGTTGTTCAAGGAACAGCAAACAAAAACCAATGGTTAAGTAGACTGATTTAAGAGGAAAGAAGGGAATGACGGAGCAAGCAAGGAATGGAGAGGAAGACTACTATAATCTGCATGCCTGAAATACCTGTAAGCATTTAGAGAAAATATAACTTGTTTAGCGTCACCAAAAACTGGGTATCATATCAGGAAAATGTGCTTTGTTAGGTGAAAGCAACATCTTACCATATTATGTCAAGAATTAAAAAATAAGTACATAGAGGCTGTAAAGCACAACCTAGTGTTAATTGATGGAAACCTAAAATAGGCTGTAGGCTGCCGCTCACTAGCATATGGAAATGCCGAGTCTCTTCAACACCCCTCAGTGTGAAAAAGCGTTGCAAAGTCCCTAAATTGTTAGATCTAACCTAGTCTTTTTTTTTTTCTTTTTTTTTTTTCCCCCAACAATATCCAAATTATAGGAGAGGAGACTTCCCAAGTGCTCCATTCAGCAAGCCCAATCCCACACAGGCTCTAAAATACTTCCCCTTCCCCGGTGTGGTGACATGCACACTGCAGGCAGACTGACAACTACCTCCTCCAGTTAGAACATATAATCATCAATACCCTTCTGAGCTCATTGAAAATGTGACTAACTCGAGCCTCAGCTCATACATTGTCAAATCCCACTTGGTGAGTCTTGTTCCCGTTCCAGCTGGAGATGGGCCCACGCTGGAATTTGGGAATCTAGTTTGCACGTTCCAAAACTGAACAAAGAGACTCGGACTCATTTCTAGCCTTAGTCTCCTAAACTGCAGCCATGTCTGTAAGTAAAATGCTGAAACATTAGTTGACTGGGAAAAATAAATGAGTGATGATTTTGAGAGAGATGCTGTGGCTACTCAGTGCAGTAGCTTCCAGCTTTTTTGGTGCTGTTCCCAGAAATGCTTCAACCATGGTGAGGAGCTCAATTCTCTAATTAAAAAAAAAAATTGTATCAAATATTTTTCAGCTTTACACTCTCAAATTAAAGCTTAAAAACCTCCAAGGAAGGAAAGGAGGCCAGATTGGAGGGGGAGGAGGTGAGAGGAAGGAAGCGGGTGGAGAAAACCACTATATTCCCAAGATGCAAGGAAAGTTGAAAATTAGAAGAAAAAATATATTAAATCAGTGTAAACTAAGAGGTAAGTTTAAGGCATTTTTTTACATTGAATGTATGTTTTGTTGGGGTATTTTTAGCAGTAAAATTCTGTATACTTTAAAAACATTTAAAATACATTAAAGTGAGGTAATTGCTTTTTTTTTTTTTCCAATTTCTTCTGCTATAAACTTGATTTTTATTAAGACCTGTCAAAGGAATGTGTTGTGCTGGGATTTTGCTATTTTTCTGCTGTTGCTGGTTAAAACTGTCTATTACCTCACCAATGACCTACATGAAGCGAAGAAACATCCCATGGCACCACAGAGGGTGTTTTGTTGTCGAGCTCAGCTGCGAAAGTTAATTGTTTATGGAGATTTAATGTGCATCGGGCTCCTACTTACCTACCTCACTGTAATTCAGTAGTGTATTGGTGTAGCTTAGGAAAAGAGCCTCTGAAGTAATAGATTTTGGTATAGTTAGGAAGATAGTTGACCTGTGTTCTTAAATTGAGGTCAGAGCAGTGTCTTACGTTGTTTATTAGTGTTGTTGCTGTTATTGCTACTTCGTGTGCTGCCTATACAGGGGTTGTATGAGTTAAGTTTTGATCAGAGACCACATGCCAGCAGCTGAATAGTAAAGTCTGGTGCACTTAAAAGCTCATTTATTACTGGGATGTTTGCTGCTGTACTGCCAGGAGCCTGCCAGAGATGCAACGGAATAAAAATATTGCTGATTAATATGACTGTGCTTGTGTTGTAACACCATGTGATACTAAAGACTTTGCCATAGATGAGTTTAGAAAGGAAGGGAACAGAAATCTGGAAAAAGCAGAGGCAGGTGAAAGGGGGTTCTGCATAGCTGTATCAGCTGGGCAGAGTGGGGAGGCAGAGATGTTCCTGCAGCCCCCAGTAGTTACTGCATATATAGACCAGGTTATCTGCAGCATTTTTATCTTCAAAGGTTGGAAACAGGGCAGGGCAAGTGTGTGACAGCTGCCGTAATGGGAGAGACCGGAGCTCTCAGTAGTTGATGGTGGAGCACAGCAATACAGGAGAGGGGGTTTGTAGGGAGTGCTGCCGCCTTCCTTTTCGATCCTTATCCAGCTTCTGCTCCACTCAGGCTGGAGGTCATGCTGTGTTTAAAAGCGTCTGATGTCTCAATTGTTCATGAATTTATCCAATCTTGTTTTTTTAACCTGTTTACATTATTGATTTAAAAAAACATGTTATGGAAATGGCTTCTATAAATTAATCACGTTGTCTTTGTTTTAACCCTCCTGTTTGAGGATTTTACGGATTGCCTCAAGTGTTTTTACTGTGAAAAGTGAATAGTACATCTCACAGAGGTGGTTATCACTACCACCTTAATTACAGGCTGAAAAGTTGTGGTCTGCTTAGATTCCCCTCTGTTGCATATGTCTGGTCATCTGTACATTTTCTAGCTATGCTGTATTTCTTCAGTGATTCAGATGAAAATGTTAGTTGTTTGCTGCCTTCTGAAGACACGTGTGTCTAATGACTATCTCTCCTTGCTTGCTCTCACCGCTTAGCCTTCCTTAACTTTTCTAAATATTTTTTTCAGAATTTAACTGAATGCTTAAATATTTCTACAGATAGCAGTTACATAAATACATGCACGGCAGCTGTGCACTTCAAGATGAATATATTATGGATGAAGAGCTTGAATTCCACAGTATTTGTACTATTTTTATTCGGGCACATCCTGAGAATTTAGTATCAAATGGCCTAATTCTGCTCTTACTGACATTAAACCCAGTGAATTAAACCAGAAACTCCTACCAGACTCCAGGCAGACTGGTCCTGCCTGCTACAGAGACCAGAGCTCAACACCATTTTCAGAAATGTTCTGAACTGTGCATGAAGCTAGATATTAAGAAGTGCAGTCTTTTATCTTTTGTAGGAGAGGGAACTTGGGAGAGAGGTAACCGCAATGGCTTAGTGGATGCGATTGGAGAGAGCTAGAAGATGGCGATGGCTGAGCAACAGGAGCTGTGAGGAGTAGGCAGGGAGAGCTGGCTGGCAGCTGAAGAGCGAGAGGAGTAAGGAGAGAGCCCTGGAGGGAGGCAGGCAGGCAGCAGCTGCAGTTGTGGACCCCCGAGGGTAGCCAGGGTGCTACTACATTAGTCAGATACTCAGATGTCAGAATTTTTTCAGACATCCAAAAGGCCCTGGACACCTATGAAGGTGAATGGGAATTGGGCACCCCAAGGCTCCTGTGCAATTTTCAGCCTTGAGGTGACTGAACAGAAATAAAGGGCAAGGTAGAGAGAAGGTACAGACTAGACAGCTGATTACTCTAGCGGTCTTTATTTTGTTCTGTACGGATTAATGGAAAGCATTTTCCTCAGACATTTGGAAACCATGACCTATATTTTAAACAGTCTTAAATAAAGAATTAATGTGGCTATTTAATCACAACTCCATCACCAGACAAAATTATCCAACCAAGGCATTAATCATAATGATATTCTTCCTGGTACCGGTTCTTGTTCTCTCTCTTCTGTGGACGTTTTGAACAGTAAAGGATCTCTTTTAAGTTGATACAGTTTAGTATGGGACTAAAATAAAAATACCTCCTTAAAAGAGGTTCTATATAGCCATATAAACAGTTATCTGTATGGGGCATTTTCTTAAAGTCAGATGCCTTTGCTTATTGATAATGCAACAGTAGACAAGTAGGAGCACAGTCTAGGTTGCTGAAAACTCCATACGTAAAAAGTGAACCATTTATTTGGAAGCTAGCAGCAGCCCATACAAATCAATGTGTTAGTATTAATATATCATTTACCAGGTGTGTTGCATCAGCTTCGCTTCACAACAGATGTAAGACATAGAGTGCCATGAAGAAATTCAGGCTGGCATTAATAAAGCTATGCATGGCAGCACTTCAGGAAGAAAAGCCACCTCATACACTGCTTATTTGAGGTTTATCCAAATGTGCAGAGTGAACCTAGCCCATAGCAAACTGGAGTAACAAACAAATGCGCTCTTCTGTCATGTGTTGCCATAAGCTGTGCTATATTCTCTGACTGCCCTCTCCAGACAGGCAATACCTCTCTGACTTACACGGGGCGAGTCTTAGTAACGCTTCAACACTGTGTTCACTACACGTTCACCCAGCTGCAGCTGGATCAGATTGAATGGAAACAAAATGTTGTCAGCAATTTAAGGACTCAGTCATGAGTTTTGCCAACTGGTCAGCTGGTAACTGGAAATACTAAAGGCTTTCTCACCTATTTTCACCAAATTCTGTCCCTTTCCCTTCTCCCAGGTCATGCCAGCAGTGCACCTTCTCCCTCTTACTATGTATGACCTGTCACTTATATTAAACATCCCTAGATGCCAATTTTTTTCACTTTCTACACAGTCTGTATTCCTCCATGGTCACTAAATGCCTACGATGGTGGAGAAAACAACTGAAGGTGAAGCAAATCCTTTTCCTCTTAGAAAGAGATCCAGACTGACAAATGATGGCTCCAGTATTTGTTCCCTGCCTCTGCCATGCAGAAGGTGTAGTAGATAAGACTTCACCTGAGGCAGAAAGGTTTAAAGGCTGAGTAGACTGGAGAAGGCAAAGCATCATTTCTTGCCATCTTCTTCCTTCTGAGGTGCTCCAGTCAAAAAAAAAAAAAAAAAAAAAAAAAAAAAAAGAAGCAACTACTTTGCACTAGAAACAGCAGTTCAGGAGTAAGGAGTACCACAGCTGAAGATCATTTAAGAATTTGTAAAGCTAAATTCTATTTACACTGAAAAAAATAGAATTCCTTTGTAATGTGCTGTAACTGAAGTTACCCATTAACTTCATCTACATCATGTAAACAAAGAAGTAACTGTTTCATGACTGCACTCAGACCTGTGCTAAGATGATGAGCCACCAAAAAAAAAAAAAAAAAAAAAAAGAAGAAGAAAAAGGAAAGATCCTTTATCCTCCACATTTGTATCCCTGTGGGGGACACATCCCTCTCCTGAGGCTGTCCTTCCCCTTTCCCCAGTAGTGCCTTTCTGGTCAAGGACACTGTGAGTGCAAGTCTGTAGTCACAGCAGCTGTGAGAAACCCACCAAGTTCCCAATGTGAACTTTATTCCCCTTGATTTTCATCACTGCTGTGAACACAGTCAGGTCCCTTTAATATGTTCATTTTCATTTCTGAAGACATTATTTAAATATTACTGTATAAAAAAGTGCATCAGAAGTGTCCATTCTCCACTAGATTTTTTTTTTCTTGTTCTTGCATATTCAGAGGCGTTGTTCAATGCAAATCTCATGAGTCCCTGTTCTGGCTGCGCTCAGGCACAACGTGTTCCACTGTTGGGTCTGCTTTGCTTTCCGGCTGTAGGAATTTTTCTTTTTACTTGAAAGAGCGTAAAGTTAGAGTAGAAGGGGAAGCAAGAAGTACTGAAAACTGCTTGCTACCTCTTAGAAAGCTGCTAATTACTTTTATTTTTACAGAATAAGTGTTTCTGAGGTCAAGGAAGAAGTCTTAGCCCAAAATTTGAGATGAACTTTGCCAAATTCCTCAGCAGATGAAATAACAAGTATTTTAAATAATAGCTTTCATGTATCTAAGATGGGTTAAACATTTAGGTGTACACTGACTTCCAGATTGTGGGGAAATGTAGTGTTATTTTATGTGTTTTGGACACTCTTAACTCACCTATAGATATTAAGTGACTAACGACAAACGTCTATCCTGACTTTTATGGCCATTCAAGATGTAAGAAAAGGGAATTTTCCTCACACCCAGTGCTCTCATGAGCTCTATATGGGCAGGAAAGTGATTGGCACTGTAAGCTGAACTAATGGACAATAAAGGAATGGATCTGAAAGAAGTTCTGCTTCTTAATTCTCTTATGACACTGGTGCTCGGATATGGATAGAAGAAGGAATCTACTCTTGGTTTGAATCAGTGAAGCAGTACTGGTTGCCTGGAATAAGGAAGGAGTTAACTTCTGTGATATCTTCCTTTCCCTTCAGCATAGATAAGTGTGCTCGGGTAGGCCAGAAGAAACCACAAACTGCCCTC